ACTCTTTCATCATTTTGACAGTACAGTGGCCACTGAAGGCGCTCCTTATGAGCCAGCATTTGTTATATCATAGCACTGATTTATCTAATTATTTTCTGATTTTCAGTTATCTCTGGGGAGATAACTGGCTATCAGTTGGAAGTCTAAAAATGTTATTTTTGTTTTCTAGTTTCAGAATGTGAAAGTAAATGGGGGACAATACCCTAGGACAATCACCGTCAATGTTGGCTTTGGCCTCGAAACACTGACCATCAGTCCAAACTCCCTTGTGGCAATTATTCAGTCAGATTCGGCTGAGAATCCATGGACAACTGTTTGGAACTACGGAACTGTAAGTGGCAAGGAGCATGCTTTTTCAGAATATTTACAAAGAGCCTAGCTCCTATAATGCCCAGGGAGGTGGTGGAGTCATCATCCCTGGAGGTATTCAAGAACTGTGGAGAGGTGGCACTCGGGGACATGGCTTAGTGGCCATGGTGGGGGTGAAGCAACGGTGGGATACGGTGATCTTAGAGGTTTTTTTCAACCTTGATGATTCTATGAGTGGGCATGGTGGTGATGGGTTGATGGTTGGATTAAATGTCTGAGAGATCTCTTCCAACTTTAATGACTCTAAGATTCTATGAAAGCTGACCAAAATAAAGAATTATTCTTATCAAGTCAAAGTTCGGGGGTAGAAACACTCTATGTTCATTACTTTGTTTTTTAATACAGATCTCTATGATTTAAAAGCTGAATTATTGCGTTCCAACTTTTTTTTTTTTACAGGGCTACATTGCAACCAAACTTGGACAAGAGGGAGTCTGCTATATTTCCACAATGAACAGAGTCCTGATGCCTGCTCTTAACTCACTTGCTGTCTTTGCTGAAGAGTCTAACGTAAGATAAAAAGGGGCAGTTACTTTTCAGACTTTCCCAAAACAACAAACAACTAATGACTATAATAGCATGAGTGTTCAGCTTATTAGCCTTTTATAGATACAGACTCCATTTAAACTCTGAGAACTAAGTCATGAGAGAACATGGATTGGTGGATGGTTGGACTAGGTGACCTTAATTGTCTTTTCCAACCTCAATGATTCTGTAATTCTATGGGCATGGTGGTGATGGGTTGATAGTTGAACTAGATTATCTTAGTGATCTTTTCCAACCTTAAAGATTCTACAACTCCTTAATTCTTTGAACATCACATATTCATCTCAGCCTCCACATTACTGGTATGATTTAGAACAGGAGTCATGTGGCTGTAGCTGAGTTATCTATACAAACCAGCACAAAGTCTAGGTTGTGAGAGAAAATACAGGTATCCAGAAATGGTGTCTAATGGACAAATCACTTAACAAGGAAAATATGCTTGAAATTCAATGAAAACAAAGCACTCTGGAACAGTTAAGAGAATTTATCCCATTAAAACATAATTCTTAAGATCATAAGAACTGCTTTCAAATTATTTTAATGTAGATACATTTGCCAACTTTCCTATTGCTCCCCTTGGTTCCAGTTTTAGAAAACGGAATTGATTTCTTCTCTTTCCACTCTTCCAGTTACGTCCCAGGTACCTCTATGGTGAGAGATTTATAAGTGAATGAGGAAATTCTTTTGTACAGTTTTAGTAGAACAGCAAGCACAGTCTCATTGCTTCAGAAATAGGAATGTGCATAAAATTAAATGGATCAAGGCACCAAATTATGTCATTTGATGTTTAGAATGTGAAAGGCGAAAGCGTGCTCTCGAGTTCCATCAGGTACATCGTCACCAGAAGACCAGTTGTTGACCTCATGCCTTACGGAAACGATATCTTCGCTCTCTGCAGCGGACTCCCAACCTTCCTTGCTTTCGAAGAGTCACAGCAGGAGGGTGGTAAGTTTCATCATATGAATTATAAGCTAAACAGGTGATTTTGTTTCCTTTGGCAATACACTATTTCTCTTGTTACCACTGAAGGTAGACATAAGTCTAAAACTTCAGGCCTTGAATGGAGGGCTCAGGATTGGAAGAATGTTTTGTTACTATTCTCCAGTTCAGAGACTGCTGACAGTTTATAGGACTGTTTGATAACGACAAAGCCTGATAGGGCCTATTAAATATACATACATACCTGTATAATACACAATAATATATACTAACGATATAGGGTATAATAGTGTCCCTTAGTACTAAAAAAGTAAAGATTATTAAGTAGCATCAGTTTGCATTCCTTTGAGTCAAATATGCAGCTGACAACAAAAGAATCACAGACAAATTATTTCTTATTATTCCTTATTAAATTTCAATCATAGACTTAAATTATTTCTATAGCAATGATTATAACAAAACATTCCTTAGTCAGAGGTAAAGTGCAAGCCATTGCTATGCAGACAAGTATAAATCGTTAGCTGTCTTCCTGTCGGTGCCACAATCAGGGTTTGATGACTTGCACTAATATCTTGGGAATTAACTCATGGTATTTTTTTTCTTTCTTTTAGTAAACCAGATTTTCTACAACCAAAACGCATGCTACAGACTTGATGTCCTGAATCTTGTGGGCATTGACTACTGCCGTGCTGGCAAAGTTTGAGCACCATGCCTTTCTTGAAGCTAGTATCAACGCCCAATATCTGAACAAAGCCATCTCTGATGCTATTCTTCCCTGACATCATGTCTTTTGAGAGTTTTGTTCTTCATGATTCAGATGTTGTAAGAGATTAGTTGGTGATAGTATCTTCCAAATAAACACTTTTAGCATGAATAAACTGTGTCTGTTTTCTCATTGCTGCACTTTTTATGATCAACGAAAGCTTCAAAAAACAAAGAAATCCAATTTATAGAACAGTTTGGGTTGGAAGGGCAGGAGCCCTCAACACCACCAATCTGTAGCTCCCCATGACCTCCTTTCTTCTCTTTGAAAAAAAGATGTTACCTCAACATTTGGTGCAATCCCAGCACTGCTGAGACCTGAGCTGATTACTAAAATTTCACAAGCAAAATATTTATCTACTCAACTTAATATTCCCCTTCAGTGAGAGGTTACATCCACATGCAAATAGTTAGCGGTTCCTGATAGACAAGCAGTGGAAAAAACTCTAACCACCAGAAGAAAAACACAATCCAGGACTACACGTTCCAGCAGAGACAAATAAGTTTAAAGCAGAATAAAGTCAAATAAGATCACCCTACTGTCTTGCTTTTGATTTACTTGAAAATTTAGAGCAATCCAAGGAAGAAAAAAGCACTTGGCCACTGGGTGTCAGCCTTGAATTATATGTTATAGAGCAATTGAGTCAGTAAGATTCCAGTTCAACTATCCACCCAGCACCAATATTGCCCACTAAACCATGTCCTTAAGAGGACACACAGAGTAAGAAAAAGCACACCCCTCATTACCCAGAGGGGTCTCTTGTCCTATACCACATCAGACTGTTCAGCTCAGTTTTGTTAGTTGTGTTAAGACAAGTGTCTTATTCCTGTGCAATGATGATGTATTTATGATTATAATATCAATAGCAGCAATTCATTAAGTCTCACTTATCCATGCATGCTGCTCTAACACCTTCCTCAACCATCAGGAAAGTACAGGAATGCTTTGAGATCTTGACAGAAATCATTACCCACTGTATAAGCTGGACATTTGTAAGCCAAAGGGAACTGAACCCAGCTCACCTTCCCTAAAACCACAATGAATGAGTGCTCAGAAAACCCACCCAGTGATGATACAGGTGGGTGACACTTCAGCAGCACCCCTATTACCACTGGAGGAACCAGCTTCCATGCTGCTTCAGAATAGATAAGAAAAGAAGAAAACCAGCTGAAGTCATTTCCTCCATTACTTAGTTACCCAAATGCTAATCACACACTAAGAACATCAGTTGTAGCTTAATTAACCATTGAGCTGCTGTGTGCAGCTGAAGCACCTTGGCTGCATGAGGAGAATTTGCCCTGAACCACATTCATGCCATAGCACAAATCACAGCATTTCACCTCACATTTTCACCTCTCCATCTCAGTGCTCTGCTCTCCATCTGATGCCTCATCTGTTGGTTTATTCCTAAGCTTTATGGGGCCTTCTGTTAGCCTGAATGCAGAGCCACGCAGGGAACCCGATCTCCTGCACGTTTCTTTCCTCCTGCTAGGTTCAGGCTAGAATTATTTTCTTGAGCACAGCATTTTTATTCTATTCTGAATTGTTACTTATTTGTTCATTTCAGAGTCAGTCAGAAACAAATAAGAGGGAATCATACAATGGCTTGGGTTGGAAGGGACCACAAAAAACAGCTGGTTCCAATCCCCAATAAAAAGGAATAAAAAGGAATAAAATTCCTTCTTCTCCTGAGAGCATTTGATTTGGAAGGAGAGGTCCCACTCTTGGGACCTCTACTGTAGCTCTTGTCGGCACTGAGGTTGCTCTGAATTGGGAATGGTGTTATTTTTGAGTTGTCTTGCAGCGTTTTGATGCTGTTTTTGGAAGAAGTCTGAGAAGATGAGTTTCCTGGCAAGGTTTGCAGGAAGAGGGAGGTTTCAGCCCCTGGTGTCTGGCCCCTGGAGCAAGCTAAGGATAGCAGAGGGAAGCATGGTCATAGGCACGGGATTTCTTAAGACTGAGAAAACACAAAGAATGAATGCAGTAGTAATTTCTCTTTGACTTTTGCTACATTGCTCCAGATTTTAATTCTTTATGCCTCTAACTTGGATACTGGCATCGGGTGAAAAGTCTCTGCACAATGCTGCGTGAATGCTATCAGCAATCTGCTCACCCCAAACCTTGCAGCCTGCACTATGTGTGCTCAATGCACAGATAATGTCTTTTCCATCCAGAGGCTCCAGTTACATTGAGTTTTCACCAGTAGGTGGCATTCTCTGAGCTGCTTTTTTTTTTTTTCTTCTTTTTATCTTTTTTTCTTTTTTCAATAATAACAATAATAATTAAAGGTGGACAAGGGAAGGGGGGTGTCAAACTCCCCCTGTACTTGCTGAAGGTTGCAGTAAAGCAAAATCTCTCTGCTCCTGTTGGGAAGCAACGGTGGTACTCTCAAACTAAGGGAGAGTGAGGGTCAAAGTCCCTTTAAAAAAAAAAAAAAGTGAAATACAGTATTGTGCATCTTGAAATCTGAAACCAAGAAACAGAAGTGCAAGGGAAACAAGGGGGGAAGCCTTGCAATTCCTGAGGACAACTGTTGCAAGTGGAGTTTTAAGAAGTAAAATACCTGTCTGTGCATTTAAAGGGTGTTGAATGGCTTTTGGGGAGAAGGCTGTGAAATAAAGGAGATCAAGGGAAGACTTTTTTTTTCTCTCATCTTCTCTGGATATAATGGCCATTGCAAAGCAAAGCATCGCCAGATTTGGCTTCAAGTGTTTCTTCTTTGCAACTTTTCTGCTGGTGTGTGATGGACACAGTGGGAAGAGAGAGAACGGGGGTCCTGCCTGCTACGGAGGGTTTGATTTGTACTTCATTCTGGACAAGTAAGTCAGTTCTATCCGTCTATTTCAAAGCAGCCTTTCTCTTGGTGTGAACTGGGGCACCATGTGCTGGGTTTTTTTGTTTGTCTGTTAGTTTTGTTTTGTTTTTTGTTTTGGAGAATTCATTTTGTCCCCAAGGGACTGAGAAACTCTATTGTGGTGGTGATAACTTTGGTGGGTGTAGCGTATAATGCTAACATGCTTTGAAAATCAAATGGGTATATAAATTTTGCTGTGGTTGATATCAAACCTTTCCTCTGTACTTGGCACCATGCTTGGGATGAAGAGCAGGACCCTGTTCATGTTGGTTTCCCCACAGTGATATCTGAGGCACTATGGGGAGATGGTACTGCAGAATTAATTCTGCAGCTGAAAACATGCAAAAAATGTCTCCTGCCTGAGGATCTGCTGCTGCCCATGCGTCCATGTCCAAGCAGGTAAAGACGAGGCTCTGAGATGTGGCAGCCCTCTTTAAAAGGGTCTGATTTTGGCCATTCTGTTGGGAAAAAAGAGATTGCTTTATTTGAAAGCAAACTTTATTTTTCTCCAGGCTGAGTCACATTTTCTTTGTTCCTGTTAATCAAACGCATATTTTGACTGCCTAATTGTTTGTGCTGGAGATAACTGCCCACTCACTTCTTCATTACTAATTCTGATCTGGATGTGGTAACTGTGCCTATTCAGTGGCAATGTGAAATAGATATAAGCTGAGCTTTGGAAAGCATCCTGTTGAAGCAATGCAACAAACTAAATGTGTTAGAAGTTACGGTTAAAACAATTGTGGTAAATTCCTTCATTAATAGTTAATAGTTAATTAATTCCTTAATAGTTATTTTGAACCTCAAGTTTGGAAATATTGGAGCACGTAAGTGCCAGAGCCATAGCACTGGCATTTTTAACCATAAATTTGAGATAGGAAAATATTTTGAGTTGCCAGCAGCTCTCTCTCTGATCCTTGGAGTGTTTTTCAGTAGCAGCCACATTCCATTTGTATAAATGACTTGGAATTACATAACGCTTTATTGCAAAATACTGGGTAAAATGTAAGGCTGAGATGAGTGAGCTGGGTGTGTTACTGTGCCAGCTGTCCTTATTCTCCGGGGAAATAATTTTTTTTTTTTGTTTTACTTCATTCAGTGGAAAGAAGTTCCTCTCGTCTATTGCACAGTGTTGCTTTGGCCATTCTGCTGTTAACTGGAATAATTTATAGAATCGTTTCAGTAGGAAGGGACCTAAAGGGCCATCTAGTCCAACCCCCTGCAATGATCAGGCACATTTACAGCTTCTATTGCTCCACCTGAAAAACAAAGCATGATTTGCACTGCTGACAGCTTTTGCAAACTGAGTTCTCCTGAAGGTTGGGGCAGAATGGGAGGTTTTACCCAATCTGATGGATGTGCTCTGGAATAGCTCTGAGCTATTATTTCAAGCTCTGTGCTGTCCTTTTACTGAAGGAATGACTTTCTACACTTGCTCAAGGAAATTTATGCAGAAATTCAAAGCTTGGCACAAACTTAAAGCACACAGACTCAAGGTACTCAGTGCATATATCAAGGTATCAAAAAAATCCTACTTGAACGGTTGTAGGTTTCCCATTTTTGGTGCAGAAATCGACTGATACAAAGCCCACTGGTGTTAAAATCACACTGGTCTCCAGTGGAATTTGGAGGAGTCAACGGTGTTCAGCTGCTGGTGTGTGCTGTATTTTGTCTACTGCATTCTGTAGCCTTTGAGGTAGCCAAGGAGAAACTTAGAGTGGTGCAGGAGGTGATCCCATCTTTTTCTTTAAAGCTGTATTTTGTTCTTCAGAATCACAGAATGGCTTAGGTTGGAAGGGACCTTAAAGGTCCTTGAGCTCTGGGCCATCAGCATTCTTACTTAGCTTGGATTTTCTGCTTTTTCTGCTGTTTTTGTTTGTCTTCAAAGATGTTGCTGAAGTCCTGAATGACTACATGGACCTTCTGGCAAACTGTGAAATGAGCATAATAGATCCATGGTGCACCTTGCTGTTTTTATTAGAAATTCCTTTAAAAATTATGTGAGCTTTGGTGATAAAGATCCTGGAGCAGATTTAGGTTTTGAAATATGAAGCATTAATGGCAGTGGTGGAAGAAAGCCATTAAGATATTAAGCAACTTTCTGGGATCAGAGGAGGACAGAACAACAATAAACACAGTGCTGGAACTCACCAGTGCTGGAGCCCTATCCTGACCCTTTGCCTCATTGCTTGGCCAGATTGAGAGACTACTGAAATCCATTTAGCACCTTGTATGCTGTCCTTATCACAGTGCTGCTCTTGTACCGCTGGGTTACCAGAGCATCTTTAATCTGTGTGTGCACTTGCATGCTTTCATTAAGCCTTGACTGTTGCTTCCTAAACTGTGTGAGTGCTCCTCTTGGAAGTAATTACAGAATTACAGAGTTGTTTGAGTTGGAAAAGACCTTAAAGGCCATCTGGTTGAACTCCTCTGCATTGAACAGGGACACCCACAACTTGATCAGATGCTCGAAGCCCCATCCAGCCTGACCTTGAGTGTCTCCAGGGATGGGCATCCGCCACTTCTCTGTGGGCAACTTGAAAGGTTTGAAGCAGTATTGCACACACAAATACCCAACTTGATATTCTGAGCTGCCTGGCAGCAGGTTCGATGAAGGATTTGTGATCACATGAGTTGAGATTGGATTAATCCATTTCCCTTTGACTATGATTGTAAAAATAATTAATAATGTGGGTATGGGGTGTTGCAGCTCAAGCTGTAAGATATTTAGAGTACAGTTATCTGATATTTGCTACTTTGATAATATGCAGGATGTAGTCATGCATATTACTGAGCATTCCTCCTAATCATACCAGGATGATCTTAGATGATCTTAGTGACCTTTCCAACCTTTACCTTCCACCTAGCATTGTGGAAGGTAAAGCCTACTGGTGTAGTTAAGTCAGCTGGTCGTACATGGCACATCCTTTAGTGTTTCTGCATGTTTTACTGCAGTGCTGAGTGGTTTTGGTCGTGGTCTGAGCCTCCTGTATACTGAATGGTGTTGAAACAAATGGCAGAAGAATAATGGAATGGATGGATTGGAAAGGGCCTTAAAGATCATAGAATCATGGAATAGTTGGGTTAGATGGGGTCTAAAGATCATCCAGTTCCAGCCTCTGCCATGGACTGGTTGCCCCCTACGAGATCAGGCTGCTCAGTGTTCTGTCCGTGGCCCTGGGCACCTCTATGGTGCCAAATAATTTGCATCCCGGATGTGAGATGAGATAGGGTCTTAATTAAGAAAGAATGAAGAAGTAGTGAGACAATGCTGTATCCATTGCATGTCAAAGGCATTATTTCCTATGCTCTTTACTTTCCATGTGCAAATAGCTGCACAGTACATGTCTGTAAGAAAAGTTGACTCTAACAGGTCCTTAGCATGATGAAGCAAGTAAGGATGAGAGAGAATGGCTTCAAGTTGTCCCAGGGGAAGTTTAGGTTGAGTATTAGGAAAAACTACTTCTCCAAAAGAGTAGTCAGGTATTGGAGCAGGCTGCCCAGGGAAGTGGTGAAGTTGCTGTCCCTGGAAGTGTTCCAGAGCCTTGGGGATGTGGTACAGAGGAGCATGATTTAGTTATTTTTTTTCAAGTGCTCAATGAAACAATGCTTCAAAACTTGTTGGGTCAGTGCCACCTCTGACAACTCAGAGGCATTTTGGAGTTGGACCAAAAGTAGAAGTTTAAGGAAAATTTGGATCAGCTTCAGTCTGAATCAGGTGTCTGTATGTACTTCTGCCTGCTGCAGTGCTTGTAGCTGCTGTGAAAGCTCTGTCAAAGAGTTTGGGGGTTGGAACTAGATGAAGCGCGTTTGAATAGGGTCATCTTTGAGGTTTCTTCCAACCCAAGCCATTCTATGAGTTTGTGGCCTTGGCTCTATTTTCATCTATGTTGTGAACTAAAAATACCACCGTGGATTTGCTGAGAAGGTGCAGTAGGAGAAATGCAAATAAGGAGTTCAAAAAGTATAGGAAAGACAAACTAAGACAGTTTGTGTCACTACAGCTCTGGGTTGTAGTGCATGGGTAAGAGAAAGGCACCTGCTGGGCCAGCATGTGGCTCTTTGCCTCTGGAAACACTGAGCCATGTGGAGTGTCTCTGCTTTGGATTGAATTTAGATGTACCAAATCCCAGCACAGTTGACCACAAAATGTATCATTCTCTTGTTAAAGGCATAATAGCTTACTTATTCTTAATTTCCACTTATTGGGCTTTTCTCCAGCAAGAGGATTTGGCATTCTCAGTGAAAGCCTTTACGTAAATTGCAAGTTTACACCATCAACCTTTCAGCCTTGCAGCACTGGCTTGCAGATCATCATCTTTTTTTTTTTCTTGGGAATATGAAGACATAACCTTAAATTTCTCTTTAATTGCCTTGCAGTTAGGCTTTATGAATATTTCTTCTGTTTAGAATTCTTGGCATGCCTAAGGAGGGGCTGCATAAGTGACATTTTCTTCGAGAAAATGTTTTGGGTTGGTTTTTTTTTTTTTTTTTTTTTTTAAATCAAAATATTTCTTCTAAATACAGACCTTGGTGTCTTATGCACTGAGACCTTGGACTGATTCAACAGAGAAATGAACTGCACGTGGACTGCAAATTGTTCACCTACAGATGGAAGATGTTTTGTGCTAAAAGAAAGGATCTGTGTGGTCAACAGAAGTGTAAGCCTTTATTTTGGGACCCATTTTTAATCTTGCTCTGGTAGACATGAAGAATAACTGTACATTATTACAATTATCGCACTTTGGTGCTTTTGTAACTGAAAGAAGAAACCATCCTTCACTTGTGGGGTTTTGATCATTGCAGTGATACAGAAATTCCTTATAGCAGACAGAACCTTCTGCTGCTCTTGAGCTTCAGGTCATTTCTCTTCGGTGTCATTAGATGAGTAGGAAGGCTCCCACTGCCCAAACCATTTAAACAAAGCAGAATGAAGTCACAGATGCAGACAAGTAAACGGGGTGTGCTGCTGACTGGCACATTACGGAACAGAGCAATTGGTTTTTAAGCTTCATTCTGGCAAGTGCTGTTTCAAAAAAATGCATGACTTCAGAGCCATGGAAAATGGCAAGAGTTATTAATGATGACCCACATACCATATGTGCTCTGTGTCTGGATCTCATTCTCAGGTGCTTTGCAGTAATAGTAATTTTAACTGATGGTTAGATTCTGCTCAGTGGTTTGCAGCAAAATGAAAAGGAATAATCGCATATTTCTAGGCTAGTGTTGCTGGTCTAAAGCAACCTACATTTCAGCGCAGGATGTAGTAAGTGGTTTATGAACTCTTGACTTTATTGTCTTCTGGAGGCTGGCGCAACCATTACAATAATGTCGAGTGTTTATTTTGTGCCTCACCACGTCGAGACAACAAATTTCCATTTTCAAACCTTTTCTCAGTGATGGTTTGGCATTGATGGCACTGGGGTGTCATATTCAAGGTCTTAGATTTATTCCACGTGTTTGAGAGAGATCTGCATCTGGGTTTGAGCTTTGAGTGTCTCAATTCTGTCAGTATACAAACTAGTGCAATTTGGATGTGGCTGAGTTTTTTGTTTGAGGGCAAATCCTAATGTAGATCATTCATCACCTGTTACAAGACATCAATTTTCTCACTGTCTGTGTGGTTTAATTTATTAAGACCAAAGAAACATTGAGCCGTTTGAGTTGGAAGAGTCCTTAAAGGTCATTGACTCCCCTGCAATGAACAGAGACATTTATTTGGCCCTCTGTGATACACACGAGGTTGGAGAACAAGTAATGATTTCAAGTCTTGGTCTGATGAAAACATTTTGTGTCTCTTCCCTGAAGATCCAAGAAACACAGAGACATTAGCACCTTCTTGTGATTGAGTCTCCTATGCAAGCTGTTACAGAAAGAAAACAGGGTGTCTGCAAGGTTTTATTTATTATTTATTTGTTTGTTTATTTTTATTTTTATTCTCTTTTGTGTAGAGAGAACCTGTGTTGTTCACTATTTATCCAGATGGAGCATATGTGCAAGGCTTCCCATTGCATGTCTCCATCTAAGGCTGCCTTTGGACCTCTGGGGTCATACAAAGAAAAAATGACTTGAGGTATCATGGAGAAGTGGATCGGGTGAAGGGTTATACGGAATGGCTGTAAATAAGAACCAGGTGTGGGGAGAAGAAAGAAGGAAATTTATGTAACCTGTACAATTTGGTTTGCATGCTTGCAGTATTTCTAGGAAGTGAAGTAATGGTTTTTGCAGCTCAGCAGGGGCTGCTTGTGCCAGGTGTGTAGAACTTGGTTGAATCTATTTGTGGGTATTCGTTTAGATTCTCAGCCCTAAGGTAGAGAAGAGTTGGATCAGATGCCTTTTTTTTCTGTGAAGTGAAAAAGCATTCTCAAATAATCATATTTCTCTTCTCAGGCTGCAGATCAATGAGTTTTTGAGTTTTCTGTTAAACCTGGGTTTGTTTTTCCCCTATAAATATTTTTAATTGTAGTCAATGAATAGAAATAAGTGATGACACATTTATTTTCCATTTCTAGAAATTATTTTTTTCCCAATATTAATATTCCAATATTCATATAAATGTCCATGCCAGAAGGTGCACTTAGTGCTGGAAGATTCTAGTTAATCTCATTTTTTCCTGGTTCTTACAACATGAAGAATAATCCAATCCCATCCAAATCCATAGCTTATTTTCCTGGGGAGCAGCATTATTTTGTGTTTTGCCTTGAACTGAGCTATGACAGAATGGGAAGCAACAGCCAAGATGTGGACTGAAGGTATTTTACTTTTCATGGTTTTCAGCACAGTCAAAATGCTAGAGAGGCTTAGGAATCTGTTCCTACAACTGCATTTCATTCCCAAAATGAGCTAAAAGCTCTGCACAAAGCTATGGCAAATGAGTTGGTTGAATTCATATAACAGACAGTGCAAGGAGACAGGCATTGCTAACACAGGGTTTATTTGTAAAGGTCTGACATCACTGCCACATGTTATTGTGATGTGTAGTCTCAAATAGTTGCATGGAGCACAAATGCTTTTCAAAGTTAAGTAGGAAATGTAATTCACATTTTAATATTTCTTAAAAGGAAGAATAGAAATAACTCAATGAGCAGTGTGTAAGAAAGCACTAGGCTTGGAAAACTACAAAGCAGCAATTAAATATGTCCTGTAATCATTATTTCCCATAGATCAGGAAGTGTCCTGCACCACTGGAATGAAATATATCACTTTGTGGAACATTTGGCCCGTAAGTTCATAAGGTAAGAGGTACTAATTTGTAGATAACTGAGAGAGGAGGGGTGTCAAGGAGTACATTCTGATTTCCCCTTGGGGAACTCACCTAGTGGAGGTTCTTAATGTATTTCTCAGATCATCCCATTAATTGCTTTTGAATTGTTCCTGAACTTCCCCTGTTCCTGTCCTGTAGGACACAGGAGCAGATAATCTAAATGGATCCTTCTCTCCAGCCTGACTTCTATGGACCAAATTGTACTTTTGCAGGCAGGGAATTCTCATCATTTCTGAGCTGCCTGATTACTACATATTCCTCATGGTATTCCTTGGCTAGAGCTGCCCAGGGCAAAGCCCCATTTGCTGCTCAGTCCTCTCTTGTTGAGTTATACTCTTGGTAGCAATAAGAGCACTTTGAGTTTGTTATTACACATACATTAAGCTGTGGTCTGGACCACCGAAGTCACTTCTGCTGTCTCTTTTTCTCCAGCCCTCAACTGAGGATGTCCTTCATAGTTTTTTCAACCAGAGGAACAATTCTGATGAGATTAACAGAAGACAGGTAAGATGTTTAAAAGTCTTTCTACATCTTCCTTCGCTTTCCTTGCTCAATGATCTCCATCTCTCAATCAACAACACGGTGACATCTTTGTTCTTCTCAAATGAATTAAATCACCTGGCCATTTCATATATGACACTCATTCTCCTAAGGTGCCCTAAGGTCTCTTAAAGCAGAAGTTGTCTTCTGAGTTTTAGTTTCTAAATGTCTTTTCTTCAGCAGCTGAGCTTTAAAGCCAGATAGTGCTCTATCTGGGAGTCTGCTTTCCAGACATTTTCAGGCTGTTGTCAAAAAAAACAAGGCCTCATTGCCTTTGAAATGTCTGTAGGGAGTTTTTTCTGCAAACAAATAAGTGAAACTCCCTTCCCATAAAAACAAACTTGAAAACAGTACATGATTATTATTCTCTTGATGTAGAGATGGGAATGATTTCTCAGATGCCTGAAAACAAGCAAAGTGTTTAGGATGGATTGCAAGAGTGTGTATTTTTGGCAATGACAGTTTGATTGTCATGTTTCTGAAGCATGTTCTTGTTGCTCCCTTGCAGATCCTCAAATTAATCCCAGCAAAATCTGTAGGATTGATATATTTTTTTTCACTTTGCCTGCAAGAGCTGGATAGGGTTCTTTAATCACTATTGCTTCCTCTGTTAGCTTCACTGCCACGTGGAGCAAAGATATATGTAACATATGTGAAGGCTGTATAAGTCAGCATGTGTTTAACATATTGGATGTCTGTGAAATTGCATACCAGAGCAGCTACTATAGAGAAATGAATAGGAAACTGGCCACTTTCCTAAAGAGCAGTCCACACACATACCAACCTTGAAAAATGTCATTAAAGCCAGGCAGCCTAAATGTCTCTTGCCATTTACTACAACAATAAGTAAAAAGAAAATTAACCATGTGTACGTTGGTGCCAGAGAAAACCTGTGCCTGCCTCTGTCTGTCTCTCACCCTGTTGCAGGGATCTCTGGTCTCTTAAGGCTTTAAGCTATGAGGCTTGCTATGTATGTCTCCCATGTGGAAATGTATTTCCTATTTATGCAGCTGTCCTAGAAATGTTGACTGGGAACAGGATATTGATATGGCATTAGTCAAAAGCCAGCTGAATTGGAGAGCTGCTGGCTTTTTATCAGAGGTCTAAGAAACAAGGGGTGGGCTTCCTTCCAGTCCTTCAGCCAACACAGTCTTTTTAGTAGGGAAGTTGGAAAAGTGGCAAAACTTTCTCCATCTTCCCCAAGGTTCCATGTGGTCTATCAGCATGAAGAAGCCTGGAGAAGTGAAGTCACTATCCATAGCAGTTTTCAAGAAGAGGGTTGATGTGGTTCTGAGGGACATAGTGGGCATGGTGGGGATAGATTGATAGTTGGACTCAACTATCTTAGTGGTCTTTTCCAATCTCAGTGATTCTATGGGCCTGATGGTGATGATAGTCCAACCATCAACACATCCCCATTAAACCTGTCACTCAGTGTCACATCTACATACTTCTGGAACAGTCACTCCACCACCTCCCTGAGCATCCTGTTCCAATGCCTGAACACTCTTTCAGAGAACAAATTGTTCTTAATATCCAATCTGAACCTTTCCTGGCACAACTTAATGTCATTTCCTCTCATCCTCTCACTGTTATTGGGGAGAAGAGGCCAACCTCCATCTCACTACCAACTCCTTTCAGGAAAGTAATAAGGTCTCCCCTGAGCCTTCTCTTCTCCAGACTAAACAATCCCACATCCCTCAGCCACTACCCACGCAGATAAACATCCATCCGATCAGACTTTATGGCTTTTTGATTAATTTGCACAGTCAAATCAGCAAGCACAGGTGAGGAATATAACCCATATGCAACTCAGCAGCTCTACTTCTGCAACAGAGGTTTGATCAGTGCTGCACAAGGAATATCTATTTGGAGAGAAATGTGTATGGAGAAGTGGTTGTCATGGCTTTCTCTGGGCTGTGGGAATAACCACAAAGAGCACATCTGCTCTATTTTCTGCATCCTTAGAAAGGTATCCAGACATTACCTTAATCTATATATACATTGAGTTAACTCTTTTTTCCCATCTCTATCTGATTTCGGCCATGCGTGTCTTCACCGGGCTATCAAGTCCTGATACATTTGATCTTGGATATAACAATTCATCTGCATTCATTTCAGGGAACAGATACGTCAGGGTCTAGAAGAGCTTCAGAAAGTCCTTCCAGGAGGTGACACATACATGCATGAAGGATTTGAAAGGGTAACTAGATGCATGTCAGAATGTATTTAAACTGTGTCTGGGTTGTTAGAGTTGGTTGGGATCTGAGGCTGTGGCCATAACCTGTTTACTGTCATGGACAAACAATGCTACTAAAAAGTTATTGCCTTTTCCAGTCTTCTCCTATGTATTTTACAAGATCAGGAGTTTGTCTAAATCTTTACTAGGGAAATCTTGAATTCCTTCCCATTCTGTACTACATGTACATTTTTGAGCATTGGGAAACTGTTTGTTGAAAAATGCATTGAACACACCTCAAAAATTGAGGTGACAAAAACAGTAACAAATTTTAAAAAATTAAAAATTAAAACTATAAAATAAAAAAATAACTTTAATACTTTAAAAGTATTCTTCTGCCAGCTTTTTAGTTCTTGATTTTGGAACGTTGAAGCATTTGTCCTTCAGCCTTGCAAAATATGCTTGTGTGCAGTTATGGCAAGAGATAGAAGCATGTGAATATCTCTTTGCAGTTGGTTTGTTTCCAATTGGAGTAGTTGACCTAGAAGTGCTGGAGAGTATATATCAATGGACATAGGATGTTTCTAAAGTAGGAAGGTGAATGTGATTTCCAGATGGAGTAGTGGGAGATGATGATTGGCCAGCAGTCTTAGGGTTTCTTTGAGTTAATGCTTTAGAAAAGTCATGCAGTGAAAGCCACAGGCAAGAAACTTGTTCTGTGAAGCCAGTAAGAGGTCATCTGTAGGCTACAATCATGACATCCTTGCTGCTGTCTTCTCTCTCTTTCTGGTACATGTGTAGATGCCCACAGGATTATTATTTATTGCTAATAATCTTCTGATTTAATTTCAGGCAAGTGAACAGATTTACTATGAAAATGTTCATGGTGAGAGACTTTCCTGATCCATTAAATATTTTTCCTTCTTTACTGATACCCTTAATTGATTTGAAATGCAGCTTTGCTGCAAGAGAGGTAGTGGGTGGCTCCTGTTCTTACAGGCATGCAATGCTCTTCAGGGTAGTTGCTCCTGAAAGGGAAAAAAAACAGGTAGAGCTTTAAGGGTCCAGACTGGAATAAGTGCTTTTCAGGCCAAAAGTGAGAAGCCTGACTGACTGAAGGTACCTACTGGTGTTAAAACTATCTGGTACGTGATGTTCTTTTCGCTTGAGGACTCAGATAACCATTTCTTCTTCCTTTTGAAACATGAGTACATGGGGATACTCTTCATAAATGTATTTTTCAACAAGAAATTAGTACGTGTAATAGTAAGTGCAGTCGCTTCCAAAATATTTCGCCTTTCTTCCTGGTAATTAACATAAAATCTTTCTGCACTGGAAAATACAAAGTGGAAATAAAACGTCTCTTCTTGGAAACTGAAAGACAGGAGACCTGATGTTTGAGTACAAAACCAGTGCTAGTGGTTTTGCAAGGCCATTCATGAATGCAGTAAAGCTTCGGGACTGAGCTGTAAAATCCAACTGCAGCAGAAGGGAACAAATACAGTAAATATACTGGGGATTGATAATGTTTTTACATGCTTGTATTACATTGCATGTAAACAGTGCCACACAAAAACAGGTTGAAGAAGCAGTGTACAACTGGGTCCTCAAGCCAATGTTGGCCCATCTACTTTTGCCTTACGAGTGCTGTGCCATCAGCTTTCCATAACAATGTGCAAGTTTTATCTACAGAGCTCCTACAGACCTGTAATAAGTCTGCTGCCAGAGATATGATTGAATTCTATTTGTCTGCTCCTGAAAATTAATATGAACTTGTAAAACCTGAGTTATAATCAATTCAAGGAGAAGACAGCAGTGTTTAATCATGATGCTGAAATATGTTACATAGACAGACTGAAGAATATAGCTCGTTTTCCTACGAAATCTATTTATAACCTAATTCAGTTTTTCATCACAAGCTGAAACTCTACATTTCTTGAATTTACAGCATTAATAAAATCAGGAATTAATAGCTTGGAACAGTTTGCTTAATTTTTTCTTGCTGCCTAATCTACTGGTCTGAAATACTGAACTAGTTATGAGAGAATTTCTGTTAAAAATCATTGGCACCTGAAAGGAGCATGGTCTAAAACTGGTGTTGTAGGCAGGTGCCCAAATGGAAAGATTGTGCAGAAATTCATGTCTTCTGAAAACTGGTTGGCGGAAGCGAATAAGGGCATGGGATTAATGCTAACCATTTTCAGTTTAGCAGCTCATTAGTAAGATGTTTTCTATGTTAATTTTACTCAAAACATGGGACTAAAGAACTCCGTGTATTTAGGTTACAGAACTGCAAGTGTCATCATTGCACTGACAGATGGAGAACTCCATGAAGACCTGTTTTTCTACTCTGAGAGGGAGGTAAGTCTTGTACATTTTTAGCCAGGGAGAGAGCAAAATGTTTAGTTCTGTTGCTTCAAAGGCAAAATATAGGATAAGTCTTTTATCCCAGGGAAGAAAACTTTAATTGAATCCTATAATAGAATCGTAGAATGGCTTGAGATGCTAGGAACCTCAAAGGTCATCAACTTCCAATCTCCCTGCTATGGGCAGCATTGCCAACCTTTGTGTTCTTCAGACATGAATCTTAGAGATAGACATTAACAGCAGCAGTATTTCTGACTCATTAAAACGGAGTCAATTCATATGTTCATAGAAAACAAGTTTTTTTTAACACCTTCCAGTTAAAAAAAAAAAAGTTTGGAGGTAGAAATAATCATTTGTGTTCACATTGTTTCTCTTCTCCTTATTCCAGGCCAATCGGTCAAGAGAGCTGGGAGCAACAGTATATTGTGTTGGTGTGAAAGACTTCAATGAAACCCAGGTAAACAAGTGCTCATTGTGTCTGCTGGGGTATTTCGTAAAGCCATTTGGGACAGGCACAAAATCCAGACTTTCTTTCTCTTTCCTCGCTCTGACTGCTTGACAGTCTGAAGTGTCTACCTGAAGCACGCTGGTCATGATGCTGATTTTAAGCCCCTTTTGCCTTCACCTCCTTCTGTAGAGAAGTATTCCTCTGCTCATGTGCCACAATGATTGTTGTGGAAAAGCAGGGAAAAGGCAGAGGATTATCAAATCCATCTGGTGTAAGCTGTAGATAGAAAGTTGTGTGGACTTTGCTTTTTAATGTGTAGTTCTGTGAAAGAAAAATGTTTAAAAAAAAAAAAAAAAAAAAAAAAAAAAGAATTATATGGCAATATCTCATTTTTGTGGGACAAAAATAATCACCTTCGTTAGTGACTCTAATATTTTACTGTCTTTTCCTATTAACTCAACAGAAAGACTTCTAAATTTCATGAAATTTAGAAATTCACTGTGTCCATGAATTATATTTCACATGTAACATGAACTACAAGTGGTCCAATCTCTGTCCTCACAGGAAAGGCAATCCATTAACAATCTATGCACAGCACTTATGGTAGGTTTTTTTTTTTTTTCACTTGCAAGTGAACAAGTCTTAGAATCATAGAATCACAAGTTGGAAACAACCTACAAGATCATCTAGTCCAACAGTCTCCTCATCACCATTGCAACCACTAGCACTAAAAAGTCTTAAGAACTAACTCTTCATGTGCTGCCTGATGACTAATTGATCTCATTCTTTGCATTTCTGTTTTATTTACTTGCACCGTGCTGTCAGCTGGCAAGAATTGCTGACAGTAAAGATCATGTCTTTCCTGTGAATGATGGTTTTGAAGCCCTGCAGGGAATTATTGACTCTGTAAGTATTTTTAATCATATATTTGCATGTATATGTGTTAGAATTTGTTATCGATAGTTAAAGATTTAGTCTTCTTCTGTTCACAAGTATCTGCTGCCTATGAGTAAATCAAATGCTGTGTCCAAAGAAATCTTAATTGGTGATAATATTGCTAATTCAAGATTGAGTTTTTACAAGCAGTTTGAAACAGAGGAAGCATTGAGCTCAGCCTTCCAGTAGCTAAAGGGAGCCTACAAATGGGAGGGGAGTCAACTCTTTGCAAGTGTAGATAATGGCAGGACAAGGGGAAATAGTTTTAAGTTGAGGGAAGGAAGATTTAGGTTGGATATCAGGGGGAAGTTCTTTACAGAGAGAGTGGTGAGGTGCTGGAACAGCTGCCCAGAGAGGTTGTAGATGTTCCCTCCATCCCAGGAGGTTCAAGGCCAGGCTGGATGGGGTCCCGGGCAGCCTGGGCTGGTGTTAAATGTGGAGGTTGGTGGCCCTGCATGCAGCAGGGGGGTTTTGGAGCTTGAGGTCCCTTCCAACCCAAGCCATTCTGTGATTCTATGAATCTCCACATGTTTTGCTCCTTAATATGACACACCAGGTTTAATTTAAAATGCACTTTGGGACAATCTGTAAACTGGTGGCCACGGAGTCAGTCAGCAGAGATATGGGCACACTCTATATGGGAGATTAGAGCACTTTTTGGTCTCTGTATTCCAATCTGATTGGCATATTTTCTGTCCTGATAGGTGGATGAGGCACTGCTTACCTGACAGAATGAGGGAAAAGATCTTGCTCTCTGTGCAAAATCCTTTCTACACTTGGCCTCCCAATGTGTTTTATTTTTTCCCCAGACTCATGTTTCCCAATTCAGATTGATCAACTGCTGGCATTTCCTGTAGGGCCTGGGCAAAGCGTGTAAGAGCTGGTGCACACAAATGACTGGAGGGTGAGCAGTTCACGGGCAAAGAGAGAGGCAGCCTGGATTGTCTCCTTTCCTATTCCTTGTGTACAAGTCATGCAAATAGCTCTGTGGTCTCTACTGGCAAAGAGTAGAGCCTCATAAGACATCTCTATTTCTAGTTCTTAAGATGCGAATTGGCCTTATTCTTTCTTACTTATGACCAGGGCCTCCCTTGCCTGAGCAGGAAAAGCAAGACCTTAGTTTTTCTTTTGTTTTGCTCACAATCATTCTAATTGTATTGCTTCCCACAGCTACAAAGGAAGATGGGAAGTCCTTTTAGGGACATGCGTTTTGTTCATTTTGGTGCAGACTTTCTTAGCTGATATAACACAGATGGAATCTATAACTTTCCACTTGAATCTGGGTAGGGCAGGTTCACCAGGGAGGTCTCATATTTCTGTGTTTACAGCGGCTACACACCATTCTGACCATTTAGTACCATACAAAAAACATGCTCCCACAGCACAGGCAGTTTTCCCTAGTTCTTTTGCATGCAGATGGAATCCCTTGTGTATTGGCTTTCCAGACACTGTCCAGGCATGGGGCTATGGCCTCAATCAGGTGTTGCATCTATTTTTAAAAAAGCAAGAAAACAATAAAAAGCTCTATTTTGCTTCCCAGACCTGCATTCCCTTTGCAGCTCTTTTTAATGAATTCCGGAAGCAGTCCTGACTCCTTTTCAGTTGTGCTTAAGATAGAGGTAGACTTCAGCTGATGGGTGCAAGATTTTTCATCCCTGGAAAGGAGGGTCACAAGAAGTAATTACACAGCAGTGAGTCTGATTCCTGCTGACAGTGTGGTAGCATTGCCATCTTATAAGGCAGATAGTGCCTTGCACTGAAGTTACTGCAATAGGCTGTGTAAAAAGGAGGTCTGTGAAAGGAATGGCAAAAAGGAAATTGATCACTGTAGAAAAATAGACTGTAGATTCTTGTTCTAGCCAGAAAACAAGCTGCCTTACTATTCCGTGCCTGGAGAATACCTCATTCTTAGTGTAAACTTAAAATTTAACTTAAACTAAAAAGTGTAAAATTAATGTTCAAAGGCGTATAGGAACTGCTGAATCATGGCCTGAACCTCTGATTGATCACCTGGGGTGAGACTGAGTCAGCCTGGGAGCGCAGGTGAAGGCAATTCAGCTGTGCTGCTGGACGGGGTGGAGCCTGGCTGCACCTCTCCTGGACCCATTTAAGAGCTGGCTGCCAGTGGGGGAGGATCTCTGCTGGAGATCCACTCCGCTGGAGTTTTGCAGCAAGCCCAGGATACGGGTAAGCGTCCTATCTTTTCTGCTTTGGTGTAATAACTGTGCAGCTAGGCTCTCTGGTATGCCTCATAACTTAACATTTGTATGTTCGTTGATTGTACAGTAGGAAAGCCCTTTCCTATTGAAAGAGCCACGAGATTTGGAAACCGTGGACTTCTTTCAACTCTCATGTAAATGCTGGCATAGCAAGGATGTTTAGCCATGTGAGAAAGGGATTGGTTAAGCTACTAGGTACTGGCTGATGTAATGGGAAGGTAATATAAAATAAATCTGGGAGAGATTAGTGCTTGAAATTGCTTTTGAGATGTGTAAACTCGAGTTTGCTCTGGTCTGCAGTGATTTGATATGAACTGCTCTGTCTTCCTGCTGAGGCAGCCCAACTCCTTCCTCCTCCCCCTCGTCCCAGGGAGCAAATCTTCCCTCACCTTTTGCATGTGCAGAGCCGTGGGCTTTGAGGTCTCTCCAAGAGGGCGGGAGCTGGGAGGGGTAGTGCTGGAGACTGGCTCTCTGCTGGGTATGCATCTGCTGAGCAGAGCTGTTGGGGGTGGTGGGTTTGCACATGTCTCGGAACACCCTGCCCTTGCTTTCCAGCCAGCTCGTGGGAGCCAGCAAGTCTTCAGTGAGCAGCTGCGAGGAGCCCTGCTCTGTGCTGTTAACGCAGGACTGTATCCCACTGCCTGAGCACCACCAGGCTATTTGGGCTGTGCTTAAATGAACTGAAACATAAGTCTTAAAAGGAGAGCTGTAGGCGTTCAATATGCTGTGGGTTTTGGTCCTTTCTCTCCTGTAAGTTCCAATGTGATTTTTTATTAAGCAAATGAATTACTTTTTTTTTGTTTTCTCTCACTGAGATAGTCACTGCTACAACTTCTTTTCCCCCTGTTTAATGCTGGGATTTTTTTTTGAGTTCATTAGAAATGAGGGAAGAACCTGGTAGACACCTGATTGCTGTAAATGGAGAAACAAGCTGAAGAAACTCCAGAATTTTTCATTTTCCTTTGTACTGTGGTTTTTTTTTTGTTGTTGTTGTTTTTGTTTCATGAGAAAATTCTACGGATCATAACTTGTCAATTGAAAGCAAACAGAGTAAGTCTTAGAAGGAAAACCAGAAACTCAACTTCATCTTCTGCTCAGTGTCTTTGATAGAAGTGCTGCAGGCAGTGAAACATGAAGCAGTGTGAAGTCAGGACAGGATCTGGTCGTTGCTTTCTTTTGAGCGTGGAACATTTTTGAGAACCTAATATGAATGCATCATAGACCAAGTATGAGAAATGATGCTTTTCTGCACTCATCCTGAGCTAGCTGTTCACATGTCACCTACAAATATATATATGCTGTGTACAGGTGTTAGGGAGAGAGGATGAGAGTTGTGTGAAGGAAAGATGAAAGTCATTGTTGGTAGATGGATGGTTGGACTAGATGGTCTTGGTGGTCTTTTCCAACCTTGATGGTTCTAGGATTCTATGATTTCACTGAATGCATGCATATGTGATTGGACAGAAAACACTGCAGGAACAGGTGACTGTTTTGTAGTTGACAATAGATATTGTTATTTGACAGTCCAACAGAGCTCATTAATGAGCACTTAGCTGCAAACTGGGTCATTCATGCTAATGGTGGATAGTTAGCTATGTGTGGGTACTTTGGAAGAATGTCCTTAGGGTCTTTCTTTTTGTTGTTGTTATTGTTGTGTTTTCCATTCCTTTCATATTCTTCTGATGCTTTTCTGCTCAGCTCTCAGCTGTTGACTTTCTCTTTCTTTTTTCCCTCCTAACAGTTCCTGTGTAATCTTGTTCCTGCAAATCTTTCTCCTCACTTGTCAGGCTGCCAGCGGCTCAGACGGTTCTGCTTCCCTCCGACCCTTGGTATCCTGTTAGTCTCTACCAGCCCTTCTTATGAGTAACTCAGACTTTTGTGTTAAAGTTTAAAGAAATGATAATCATAGCTTCATGTAATTAAATATTCGAGGCAGGGAGCCGTGATTGCAGATACAAAATAAAAATACAACAGATCATCTCTTACAGAATTTATTGTGCTGGTTGCTTCTCTTTCCTTACAGATGTTTCAGTTTAACACTGGGAAAATAATTTTCATGTTGGATTTGAGTCATGATGCTTGGCTGGCATTTGCTTGCTTCTCAGAGCTGACCTAAATTTTGATCAGCATTGCATCATTTAGGGGCTGCTCAGCCCAGCCCTGAACACCCACCACTCTTGGTCACTGCTGCTGCTTTCACAGGGGCTCATAAATGCTGTCACAGGTTTGCTGTCTGTGTGCAGCAAAGAATTGGAGTCTTCAGAGGAGAGGGGAGGCTGCTCTCTGCAAAAAACAGCCTGAGAAATTCTAACATAGCATGGGAATAAATTGAATGCAAATCTAGTGTGCTCTTCCTGACTTGCATGTAGTCTGCCAAGGCTGATGCTGAAGTATTTATGTAAATCACTGCCTGTTAAGTGGTTGAAGGCAGTGCCAACCCTTATGAAAAAATACTGCTTCACTTAAGTTTCTTACCAACCTAATCAAAATGGGAACGAGCCCTTTTTAAATCAAGAAAAATTATTCTATATCTTTATTTTGCAGTGTTAAGCATTTAGATGACAAGTGCTTTCTCAAGCTTTTGTATTTGTGTATCTCCAGAAAAACAATTCAGACATTTCATGACATTTATTTTTCTGTCTTTTAGATTTTGAAGAAATCTTGTATTGAAATTCTGGCTGCAGAGCCTTCCAGTATATGTGCAGGAGGTAAGTGTAAATGGAGGTGCAATCTGTTGACTCATACCACTCCCTCTTTGTGTGGTGGTTCTAATAACATTGTGCTATGGACACTGTGGCTTTAAAGTCCTGGCAAACATTTCTACGTTCTGTAGAACCCCCAGCTATTTTGGAAGAAAGCTTGAGAACCATTTTAGCATCTTCAATCTCCCGTGAGCTCCATGTTTTACACAGGGTTTTGTAACTGTTTGTTGAATGAGTTTTGCAGAGTAGGATGAGACTGTGATGCATTCTGTTTCTTTTTACATTCTCAAAATGGTAGTGCAAGTAATAAAGCGAACTGCCAATGCCTCTTTGTTTTCGCTTTCGTTGCAGCTGCTGTCACAAGAGGAGCAGTGATAAGCTTGAAAAATACCAACAAATTGCTTACATGCTCAATTGAAGGTCTAACCTCTGTGTTTGGACAAATACTCCATTAATAATGTTGCAACTGCTAATTGTGACAATTAGGACTTTGAGATTAATGAAAGTGACACTTTCATTGTGTCTCCCTCTCAAATGAGAGTTAGGTCCACTGGGAGTCTTTTGGAGATAAATTTGGCAGGTATATCTCTGATATCTCATGTTTTCTTGATTTTTGTGCATATTCTCGAAGACCAGTGGCAGCTTGGTTTGGGTGTTTTTTTTTTTTTTTTTTTTTTTTACTTTTTTTTTTTGATGGAGAGAGCAAGGGTTCTGCTAACCTAGGCAACTCTTGCACTGCAGACCAGCCCCAGACACTTCGCAGCAACACATCTGTCTGAAATGCTGGTTCCCAAATGGCGTGGTTTTGCATCACGATAGAAATGCAGTGTGCGTGCTGGATCTGTTTGCTTCAGTCCCAAGCAGAGACAGGATCTCCATGGTTAATGTGACATCATTGATGCACTATTCTTTGACTGTACGTGAACTCTCATTCCCCAGCAGTTGAGGCTTCTGCGATTTCTCTTAAGTATTCATCAGCCCCCGCACAGCTCTTTTCCCTCGTTCTTCCCAAATGCTCTTGGACAACACATAATGGGCCTGTCAGGCAGCTTCCCTGGCTAGATGTGGTGGGATGATTTGCAACTTGGCTGTAAATGAGTGGGATCTGGAAGAGAGCCCAGATTCCAGAGCAAATCTGCTTTTTTTTTTTTTATTTTTTTTTTTTTTTTTTTTCTGACAAGTACAGTATATGAGTCCTTAAGGGAGATGAAAGAAGATGGGGACTGTAACGTGCAGGGAGGAAATTCTGAGTCTGCAAATGTCCATTCCTTGTTGTCTCTTGGGATTTTAAAACTAGGGTGGTTATTTCTGATGCACTGTGATTCCTCCTGTGTTGTCAGAAGAAACATTTTGTGTTTGATTGTCATTCACCAGAAGTAACATCAGCCTTTGAAGGTCCCTCCTAGATAGCAGCAGGAACTGTGGGGGTTGGTTCCCTCCCTGTGGGGGGTGCAGAGGGTGAGCCCCTGGCTCTGCTGCCAGAACATGACAGACGATGCTTGTCCAAGTGACGATTCTTTGCCTCCCTGTGGATCAGTAATCTGCTGTTTGTTTTTTTCTTCAGAGTCATTTCAGGTTGTTGTGAGAGGAAATGGATTTCGACATGCTCGTAACGTCGACAGAGTACTCTGCAGCTTCAGGATCAACGACACAGTCACTCTCAGTAAGCTGTTTTGATTCCTTATATATGTTTTTTTTTTCCCTGAGTTTGCACTAGCAGGCATTTGCCTGGGAAGCATTGGATTTTTCAAATACTTTGGCTGCGATGGCAATCATTAGGGGATGAAGAGCTATCAAATTGTAGAAGGGAAAGCCAATCTCAGCACATGGCCCCATCGGGGTGGGAGGAAGGCAGGTAGGAACTGCTCAGCTTGGATTCATGGACAAAGGTAATAGCACAGAATCATGGAATCATTAAGGCTGGAATAGCCCAGCTCCTGGGAAGTACTGTTTGCTGACAGAAAAAATGACAGGCACGTTAAAGCCTGAGTGCCTATTGTTTTTGTGATGGGTACTGAGAACCACTTAATTCGAGGAATTAATGATCCTATTGTTCTCATCTTGCATGCTTGTAAATCCATATAGGATGTCAGACTGCATATTTCATATCTCATATCACCAGTGGCAGTAGAATTTATTTTGCCTAACGTGGGATCTAGTCAGGTAGTGTTTTGAAGATAGTCCTGATTCTTTATACATAAAATAAAGCAGCTTTATTTTTATATTAAGAAATGCATTGGTGTGTAGAAAGGGAGTTAAAAGAGCTACAAAACCACTCAGCATAACAAAAGTCTCTAAACTTTCACGTTTAGGAGAGCCCAGCTCCCTGCTGTGGTTTGACATGGCCTTCTTTTAAGTCCTGAGCATTCTTCAGACCAGATATCCTTTTGAGAGACTTGTCCTGTTTCTGAGCTTTAAATGAAGACTGATTAGGTATTTCAGCGTGTAGTATTTCGATTTTAGCACAACCTGGGGCAGTGTGTGCAACCGGAGTGATGGGATAAGGGTTGCATTTGGTTTATTAAATTATGCTTTTACTTTTGTTGTGATTGCACTGAATCATTTGCAATACGGCTGAAACATGATATTTTTTTCTTACAATGCAACTTTTGCTCCATCCTAACATCCTGAACAATCAAAATTATGCTTCATGTTGTTAGTTGTGTTGTTTTTTCTTTTTAACTCTTTGACTGAGAAACCTGAGGGCTGTAGGTGGTCTCTTAGGAAAAAGATTGTTTATCCTGCTGGTGAAATGAAAGGACTGTTCTTGCTCTTTATTGCAGTCAGTAAAGAGGGTTCATTTGCTAAAGGCTTCAGAGGAGGACAGCAAGCAGGTAGTACCTATGAAACTGCACCTCCTAGGAATTAAAGGGATTTGGGTCAATATGGTCCAAATCTTTCTGTGACTTGCATTAACTAATGTCACAGTTTGTGGATGAGCTAAGAATAAAATGCAGTTATCAGCACTGTAACTGTAGGCATTAACTTCAAGATCACCTTTCAAAACATTTCACTGAGTCAGAAGAAGATTAAGAGCCACGCTGTCTCATTATAATAATCTGGCACAGCATCTCAAATTTGAAAGCTGTAATGTGAGCACAGAATGTGATATGACTAGCAGATAAAATTAGAGCAAGAACATTTGCTAAATCCTGAGACGAATTTCTGACTGTAAAATGTGCAGTGGTACAGCTGGCAGTCTCAACAATATTGCCTTCAGCCCATTGACCTCAGATCTCCCAATGAACTTTTTTGGGGTGTGCTTTACAGTGGCTTAGCATTACTGGGGAATTTGTTTTCAGTACAGTTGGACTGATAAACAACCACAGAAGGAGATTAAGCAGCATGTGAAGGAAAGCAAAAGGCAGATGTGAGCTCTGGGGAAAATGTGCTTTCTGGAGCAGGGATGAAGATGATGCTAAAAATAATAATAAAATAAGTGGGACAGCAATCTCTGGGAGACTTTTTCCCTTCCCTAGCTACCTATCCAGCACCCAGTTGAGTTCAGTAAGAAATGTTTGGGGAGCATCCTTGCTTAAAGGGACCTGGGGATTCTGGTGGGTACAAGTGGAATATAAGTCAACAGTGAGGCACTATAGCAATAGAAAGCAAATCAGGTTCTGGGTTGCATCTGCAGGGGCATTGCTAACGTAGATAGAGGTGTGGTCATCCAATTCTGCTCCATTCTATTCTGCTTGCTGCATTCAGTGCTCCCACAGATCAAAAAAGCTGCAGGCAGCCTGGAGCGGGTCCAAAGGAAGGCCAAGAAGGTGATCCAAGGGCTGGAGAATCCACCTTACATGGAAATACTGAAAGAATTAGATGTCTTTACCTTGGAGAAGAGGGGACCCTACCACAGTTTTCCAGTACTTGAAGGGCAGCTACAAGGACGACATAAGCTCCCTGTTTGCAAAAACAAACATGGAGAAGACAACAGAGAATGAATGGGCACTTCATCTTCATTGGGATAGGTTCTTTCTTTGCTTAAGAAAGACACTTTTTCACAGCAAGATCAATCAGCCACTGATACAGCATCCCCAGGGATGTGGTGGAATCCCAGTCTTGGTTTTTACAGTATAATTTGAGAGAGTGCTAGATAATCTCACCTAGGCTCCCTTTTCCCATGTAAGGTTGTAGCTGACAATCTTTCAAGGTCTTTTCCAGTCTGGGAAGATTGTAAGAAAAGATTGAAAGAAGAAAGCTCAGAATCTAATGGTCTGAAATATGTGGGTCTTGGCCTTTTTAGTTGGAAGTTTTAGAATATGCAGTAGGCAAACTTCTTATCCCACAGCTTAGTTCTCTTCCTCCTGGTTTATGGGCTCCTCCAGTAGCTAGAGATTTGGTGCAGATCTCCTTTTTCAGTGGTCATCCTTCTTTTCTCTCCTGTGTAAAGCCTGTTCAGCACTCTATTTGCTGCTCCGCATTTTCTCTTGTCTGTAGCTTGAAAGTTCCCTCTTTACTTAAGGCTACACTGGCTGTGACCTGCCATCTGTGCTGCATCCCAATAGCTTCAGAGCTCAGCTTTCTGGCTCTGCTGCAAGACATTCATTCCTGGAAACACACTAAAGTCTTCATAGAGCTGAGAATGTCATCCATCAGCTTTTCTCTATTCAGTGTGTCCCATCCATGGAGACACAAAAACATCCAGTGTTGCCAATGGGAGGAACTGCTTTAGAGGGTTACTTCACTCCCAAACGCTGTGACCTGGTGCTGGTGGGGGTCAGGAAAAGATTCCTTCCTCCTCCTTTTTTTGTGTGCGTGTATGCTGTCTCTGTACTGAATAATTTTCTATAGTGTCCATCATCATCATTTTACAATAGCTTTCAGGAAAGATCAACTTCTTTTGTTGCAACCCATGGGCTTTTTCCTTGAGGCTGTTGTCTTATGTCTACAAAATGGCCATGGAAAAATAAGGATGAGGGCCAAATACATCCCCACCCCTCTGACGTGGTGTATTCATTGTGTCCTGAATCAGTGCATAGGTGAGAAGTAAACTTATTCTCCTTGGCACCACACCAAGACTTCTCTGTTCATTCTGCAGAATCCTGGAGTGCTTGGTGCGGTGACCTGGAAGCAGGAGGCCAAAAACTCCATTTCTGAGTTCAAGCTGTTCCCAGATTGAAGGAATCCAGCAGTTTCTGATGAGTGCTCCCAGATCCACGTCTCTCCTGGCAGAAATCTGCACTTTAAGCTTTAAGTTTAAGCTGCTGTGTGTGGGAATATATCACAAAGCTTTTGCTTTGCTGTAGCCCGCAGCTCCAGCTGGTATTCTCCCTTGCCCACTTAGATGCAAACAGTTTAACATCAGCGTTAACTCAGAGGGAGTTTTATGGAAACCTTATGGAGAGCAGATGGTTCAGCTGTTTTTGTTTGCTTGAAACTTCTTGGGCTCTGATTGTATCAGGGAAGGAGGTATTTTTAAAGATAACACTAAGCCAGAAGTTCCTGAAACCTTAAATTATCCCTGATGAGATGTAGACCAGCACAGCTAGGACTTGCTGAGGTTAAGGGCATGAGCTAATAGATTTTTATTGGGATTGCTGGCAGAGAAAAGTGGCAGGTGAAGAGAGCATTGGCTTATAATGTTCATAGCCATGGGATAGAAAAAAATAATTAAAAAAGGAACAGCTGTAGAAACGATAAAGAATATTTGGCTGCACAGAGCTGTAATCAGATGCATGTTCAACAGCAGAGTTTTTTCTGCCAGCAGCAGGACCTAGGAGAATTGGTTTCAGACTGTGCAGAGTTAAAACTAATTATCCAGTGCAGTGACTTATGACTGTTTGTGGTGCTAAAATGTCTTTGTCTGCCCAGATTGTGCAGGATCCAGCAAAGATAGCCCTGGGCATGGAGGCAAGCTCTGTCCTAGGCAATTTAAAACTCAGTGGAGGGATGAAAGATTGGTGAGGAAACAGCACGCACCACAGCAGAGATAGGAGCAAACCTCTTGCATTCTAGTGAATGCTGTGGATAGTTGGCCAAAACTGATTCTTTCAGATAAGACTGTGTTTTTCAGCACTTGGTAACAGAAGCAAGGAAAAAGAGGCAAAGATGGTGAGAGCATGGCTTCCCCAGCTGTCACCAGAGTGGTCTATACAGGGAGCTGTGTCCTCAGGCTGCCAAGCAAATGCCTTCTAAAAACAGTCATCTGCTTTTGAAGCAGATTGCTAATTATACCTTTTCTTTCCTCTTTATTTTTCTGGCAGCACAGTACTTTTTCTTGCGATACCTTCCATACTTTCTCTTATCTTGTCCATTCGCAGAACAGGAAAGTTCTGCTCTGTGCTTCTATTTCAATCTCTGAGTTCCCTAATGTCATGGCACTTTAAACCTCCATGAAATGTTTCCTCTTTTTTTTTTTTTTTTCTAGTGGATTTTCCCTCTTTTCATTACAGTAGTAGTTAACATCTCCCACTGAACAAACTCCATCAAGATATTCTGAGGATGTGACCTTTGTGAAGGACACAAGCTGTGCCTGTGTTTCCCCTAGAAGGAATAGATGTGTTTCTTGGGTGAAAACATACACCAAGGTGAGCTAGGCATCCTCTTTTGAAGGGTGGATCAACTCATTACTTCATTAAAAAATTAGTCACAGAATGGCCTGGATTGGAAGGGACCTCAAAGATCATCCAGTTCCAACCTGTCTGCCATGGAAAGGATTGC